GGATTTCAGAAAACAGGATCTCCAGTGAGACTACAGGAAGGCCAGGAGTCACTCTGCAGGACACAGAGTCCACAGATGGGGGCGCTGTAGGCGACGGTTTGATGGTTCGATGAAGTGTTCCTTGTTGGTTTGTTTTAGTCTGCCTAAAAAACCTTACAGGAAAACCAACTGGTTTTGGCTCATTAACATTTATGGTAATGAGCTTTGCTCTGATTGGATCACTGCTGTGAAGCCTGCTGTGCTCTGATTGGCTCAGCAGTGGAGGTTCGGATTTCGGTTTATCCATTGTTATTATGCTAATGCTAATAGCATATGCTAATGTGTGCTAAAGTAAGGTGCCCAGATGTCTGTAATGATATCTGGGGACATTCGGTGCGGTGGCGGCGGCGGTGCAGGGGCTGTGTGATCACAGACGAAGTCTCGGTACTATTTAGTAGCAGCGCATGCCCCTTGTAATAACCCCGTAAGAACTGTTGTTCAGGACTGCTAACTAAATTCGGCTACTGTAATAACCGTTGTTCGAGCCCACACGCAACATTTTTGCTCTCATTAATGAAACGCTTAAATCGGGGACATTTTCGGGGACAGCTTTTGCCGGGGACAGGTCATCCAATACGGGGACTGTCCCCGGAAATCGGGGACTGTCCCCGGAAATCGGGGACGTCTGGTCACCTTATGCTAAAGGCTAAAATCGGCAGGTATTAAACCATATATTTTAGACCCCGAGTCCGAAGAGGAGGTGGAAGTTGAGGAAGAAGCCGGAGATCTCCAGCGGTGTTTTCTCATTCATTCTGCCCGGCTTTAAGTTCATTTTCCCGGCAGTGAACCGAAGGAAACACCGGTCGTTTGGAAGAGACCCATAGCGGATACAGCGGTAGCTGGGTCTCACTCTGGCTGTGACTGAGTACGAGAACGAGAGAGTGGGCATGGCTCACCGAGGACGCGCTCGTGAATAATAATGAGCAAGGTCAGCGTGACGTCAGATTGACCTGCTTTTTCAATCGGCCTGGTTTACTCGTTCCTTTATTTTAAACCTTTACAGAATGAAAACGACGTAACGGTTTGTTTTCACATGTACAACAGAAGACGAACATAATATGAACCTTATCTGACACAAAAAAAAACCAAATTACATTTTTATGGCAGGTCCCCTTTAATGCTGGACTCTTCAGAAACCAGTAGGTGACGTTACTGAGACCAGGTCCACGTTCGGTCTCTGACCCTGATCCTTCGTTCATGATCTCCTGGAGAGTTCTCAGCAGATCTCTCCTGATCGCTCAGACTTCATGTCCTCGACCTTCAGACCTCTCTCAGGTCTCAGATCTGGACTCTGCTGCATTAATCCCAGAGTTCTGATGAGAGTGACCCGAGGCCCGGCTCCACCATCGCTCTGAAACTGTTTTAGAAAAGTGCTGCAGCGTCAGACGGACAATTGGACTTTTTAGTTTCATTTCTTTTTGCTCTGAAATCTGTCGGTTATCTCTGAACTGATCCTCCTCCTCCTTCTTCACGGTCAGTGTGTTGGACATGTCACCGTCTCTGTGTCTGATTTTTGGGACAGTTTCCTCGTAGAAATGTGAAGACTTTCTACACACAAACACACAAATACACACAAACACAAACACACAAACACACAGACAAACACACAGACAAACAAACAAACAAATACACAAACACAAAAATACACAAACAAACAAATACACAAATACTAAAACACACAACTACACAAATACACAAACACACAACTACACAAATACACAAATACACACAAACAAAAACACACAAACAAACAAATACACAAACACACAAATACACAAACACACAAACACACCTTCAGAGTCGGTCCAGGGCTCTCAGCTTCATCTGTTCAAAAATCCAGTCCTGGTTTTCCACCACGACCACAGCTGCTCTCTGTTTCTGTGAGGAACATCTCGTCTGTGTGGTGAGAAGCCGGTCTTCTCGATGTGTTGACGGGATTGACCTTTAGAAACTCAAAGACGTGTCAGAGATGGCGGTAAAGACACCCTCCATGAGGTCAGAGGTCAAACTGTACTTCATGTTTTCACCCACAGAGACGAAGAAGGACGAAGATCTGAAGGTCCAGAGAGGAAGAAGAGGAAGGAGAGAATCTGACGAAGAACTTCAGCTGAGCAACGAACACGCCAACGCCGACCTTTAGATCGAAAAAACATCCAACCTCTCAGAGAACAAGACGAGGTCAAAGTCTGAACCCACACCTGATCCCAGACCTGAACCCAGACCTGATCCCAGACCTGAACCCAGACCTGATCCCAGACCTGAACCCAGACCTGATCTCAGACCTGAACCCAGACCCAGACCTGATCTCAGACCTGAACCCAGACCTGAACCCAGACCTGATCCCAGACCTGAACCCAGACCTGATCCCAGACCTGATTCCACACCTGAACCCAGACCTGAACCCAGACCCAGACCTGATCTCAGACCTGAACCCAGACCCAGACCTGATCTCAGACCTGTACCCAGACCCAGACCTGATCCCAGACCTGATCTCAGACCTGAACCCAGACCTGATCCCAGACCTGATTCCACACCTGAACCCAGACCTGATCCCAGACCTGATTCCACACCTGAACCCAGACCTGATCCCAGACCTGAACCCAGACCTGATCCCAGACCTGAACCCAGACCCAGACCTGAACCCAGACCTGATCCCAGACCTGATCCCAGACCTGATCCCAGACCTGAACCCAGACCTGATTCCACACCTGAACCCAGACCTGATCCCAGACCTGAACCCAGACCTGATCCCAGACCTGAACCCAGACCCAGACCTGAACCCAGACCTGATCCCAGACCTGATCCCAGACCTGATCCCAGACCTGAACCCAGACCTGAACCCAGACCTGATCCCAGACCTGATTCCACACCTGAACCCAGACCTGATCCCAGACCTGAACCCAGACCTGAACCCAGACCTGATTCCAGACCTGATTCCACACCTGAACCCAGACCTGATCCCAGACCTGAACCCAGACCTGATCCCAGACCTGAACCCAGACCCAGACCTGAACCCAGACCTGATCCCAGACCTGATCCCAGACCTGATCCCAGACCTGAACCCAGACCTGAACCCAAACCTGATCCCAGACCTGATCCCAGACCTGAACCCAGACCTGATCCCAGACCTGATTCCACACCTGATCCCAGACCTGATCCCAGACCTGATCCCAGACCTGAACCCAGACCTGATCCCAGACCTGATTCCACACCTGAACCCAGACCTGATCCCAGACCTGAACCCAGACCCAGACCTGAACCCAGACCTGATCTCTCTACGGGTGTGTTATCTCCGTGTCTTTGTGGTTTTGATGCTCCTGAATGTTGTCAGATCCATCCAGCTCGGAGCGGAGGTCATTCCTCGGTCTCTGAGCGGCGTCCATCTCAGCAGATAAAGAGATATTGAGCGAGTGAAGAGAGAGCGCCGCCATCGACCTGCTAATAGAGGTCATGACCTCCTGAAATAGGACCGAAGAGTTTAGATCTACCTGGAACCAAAGGAGGAGAACGCCGAGTTTACGAGCAGCTGCTGCGTTCTCATTATTCATCCTGTCATCAGCTGGTTAATGGAGCGTGTGTGTCAGAAATATGAACACATGACATTAACGAGGCGTTACCATTCTGGCAACGCCAACGCCAAACCTGATTAATGGAAGACTGCACGTTAGCAGCAGAGGATTGTGGGTAATCACTGCTGGAGGACGATATCTATTATTCACCGATTTAATTCAGAGGGAAACAGGAACTATGAGGAGAAACAGGAACTATGAAACAGGAACTATGAGGAGCAACAGGAACTATGAGGAGAAACAGGAACTATGAGGAGCAACAGGAACTATGAGGAGAAACAGGAACTATGAGGAGCAACAGGAACTATGAGGAGCAACAGGAACTATGAGGAGCAACATGAACTATGAGGAGCAACAGGAGAAACAGGAACTATGAGGAGCAACAGGAACTATGAGGAGAAACAGGAACTATGAGGAGCAACATGAACTATGAGGAGCAACAGGAGAAACAGGAACTATGAGGAGAAACAGGAACTATGAGGAGTCAGTTTGACTCAGCGATTCGACTCTGAGTCCGATAAACTGAAGATCTAATCGTCTTCGACGGCCCTCGGCCTTTTTCTGCGTTCTTAACCTTCATGTTCTCGCCCCGAGTTTTTATCTCTGAAGACCAAAACAAACATGATCTTAGAAAAGAGAAAGAAGGAACCATCAACGGGAATGACAGCAGGAGATTTAAGTCTTTGATTGATGCAGATTTCCACCTGCTGAGGATAACTTAGGCTCCGCCTTTTTTCTGATGGAGTCAGTCATTGATCAGACATGATCTCTCAGGACTTCAGGGAGAAGGTCTCCTCTCTCTGTGTTCACTCTTCTTCTCTACTAACAATGACATCCATGAAAGGATTGAGTCTCAGACAGTGAGAGAAGATCCACAGTCGTCCTGTCTCCATCCACTGTGAGCAGACGTTCTCCACAGAGTCACCGTGGAGAGGAAAACCACGGTGTAACCATGACAACGGCATAAAAAAGAAATCAACGATGACATGAAAACAACAACAAAAACAAAGACGTCAATATTTCTGTCAGGGGAGGTTTTAGACACGGGTCCAAACTTAGACTGAAATGGTTCTGGTCCCTGTCGTGGATCCCTGTCATAGAGGGTCACTGAAAGTCCAGACATGCTGAGGCAGACTGGATCAGGTCCAGTTCTGGGACCTGATCCCAGACCCACCTGAACCCACCATGAGTCACAGACTGGGTCACAGAGAAAGAACTTAAACAGGCAGAGACCTCTGTGTGTGTGTGTGTGTGTGTGTGTGTGTGTGTGTGTGTGTGTGTGTGTGTGTGTGTGTGTGTGTGTGTGTGTGTGCGTGTGTGTGTGTGACTGTCTGTCTTTGAGAGGACCGGCTGATAGAGACGTGAGGATGAAGATTAATGTGATTATAATGATCAATATTCAGAGTAATGAAGCTGGAATAATGAAGACTGTGAATAAACACACACACACACATACACACACACACACACACACACACACACATAAACACACACACACACACACACACACATACACACACTCACACACACATACACACATAAACACACACACACATACACACATATACACACATAAACACACACACACACATACACACACTCACACACACATACACACATAAACACACACACACACACACACATAAACACACACATAAACACACACACTTCATTTGAACATAAGTATATCATGATTAATATCATCAGGGACACACACGTGCACAGGCATGTACAAACACACAAATGCAGAGTCACACGTGCGTGCAATGACCAAGAGGCCGAGGGCTGAAGGGGTAGAAGCAATGCATTCTGGGTAACAGCCACAGTAATGGCTCATTAGTCATAACCCACGGCAACGGAGCAAAGTGGTGATGAATGGGAGCTGTGGGGTTATTACTGTGTGTGTGTGTGTGTGTGAGTGTGTGAGTGTGAGTGTGTGTGAGTGTGTGTGTGTGTGTGTGTTTGTGTGTGTGTGTGTGTGTGTTAAATACAGTCCAGTGTGTTTCTCTCCTCTGTGAATGTTTTTAACCGTAGACTGTATCTAGAACAGACGCCGTCTGCCTCCTCTCTCAGAGAACAGCGCCCTCTGGTGACGGGCTGCAGTATAGGTCATAAACCCCGCCTCCTTATGGAGCTGTGGACAAACTTTCTAAATGAATGACACAGAATATAAATGTTTCTCCCCCCTGGTTGTGATGTTGACATGTAGTTACTGTCAGACTGGTTTGTGCTCAAGTCCTCTTTTTTCTGTACAGCTCCATTTTTAAAAGTTATTAGGGGGTTCATGTTTTCTATGATTGACACCTGATACAGCCTATGGGAGGACAGGGATTGAGTAGATCACCGGGGGATACGCTGTTTGAGCCGAGCGTCATCACAGAGACTCTCCTGATGAATGAGAACAACGTTACTGAACAAAGTTGGTTTCAGGAAGTGGAGAAAAAACACGGAAATACAGAAAAACGTTTCAGCTTCAAATCCGTAAACTGGAGGAAGGAGGAGTCCGGAGTAAAAACAGTCTGTGATTTAAACACGGTCAGCTGTGTGTGTGTGTGTGTGTGTGTGTGTGTGTGTGTGTGTGTGTGTGGGGTGTTCAGCCTCTTTCTCTCTTCCCTCTCTTTCCTCCGACACGGTTCATGACTCAGCAGAAACTGTCTCCACCTGTCCTCTCTGACCCCGTCTCTCAGGTGACCCATGAGTCCAATTAACCAGGAGAATAAAACACCTGATGATCCTCGTTCACAGAGACCCAAAGATCCGTTTTTACTCTCAGCTTCTTCATCTAAACGAGTTTTTATTTTAAGATCCTTCAGCTCCATCAGTTCTTCTCATTCTGATCCTTCAGACAGACTCTGAACCTCCGACCTCCAGGAAACATCAGAGAGAAGAACTGAGAGGAGAAACATCAGGACTGAGAAGATCTCAGTGATTTATACAGACAGACAGGAACAGGAAAGACTGTGTGTGTCTGTGAGTGTGTGTGTGTGTGTGTGTGTGTGTGTGTGTGTGTGTGTGTGTGTGTGTGTGTGTGTGTGTGTGTGTGTGTGTGTGTGTGTGTGTGTGTGTGTGCAGACGGGTTAGTGGGTCTGTCAGTCTGATAGAGGTTCTTCCTTCCTTCTCACCTCTCCTTCTCTCCTCGTACACTTCTCTCCGATCTCCTCCTCTCCAGTTTTCTTGAAGACTTAAAAACAGGCAACTGGACTGTGTAGAGTTGAGAAGACGTTTCGCCTCTTATCCAAGAAGCTTCTTCAGTTCTAAAAGTGCTAGTGTGAGGAGCAGATATTTATCTTACTGGAGAAGGGGGACAGTTAACGACTGGGAGGAGTTGAAAAGAATGGGTCGTAGAAACCCATCTCTCGGTGTGTGTCCCCCAAGTCGTTATCCTGAAAGGGTCGTTAGCGACTCCTATCATGTGACCACATGACTCATGCCACCTGAGTCATGTGGTTCCAGGTGTGAATGTTTGTGGAGCTTTCTGGGGAGAGAGCTGAGAACTGCATTGTAAGTGCCAGAGAGATTGTGCCTGAGTCCACCCCCTCTGTTCAGAGAAGGTTTCTCCAGCCTGGTAAAGATGGCTTCTTTAACTCCTCTTTCAAACCATCTGTCTTCTCGAGCCAACACCTGTACATCGCTGTCCTCAAAAGAGTGACCTGTATCCTTCAAGTGAAGGTGGACAGCTGAGTCCTGACCTGAGGAAGTGGCTCTCCTGTGTTGAGCCATGTGCTTGTGAAGCGGTTGTTTAGTTTCCCCAATGTACAGGTCTGAGCATTCCTCACTGCACTGGACAGCATATACCACATTACTCTGTTTATGTCTCGGTGTTTTGTCCTTGGGATGGACTAGCCTCTGCCTTAGTGTGTTACCAGGCTTGAAGTGAACAGGAATGTGGTGTTTGCCAAAGATCCTCTTGAGTTTCTCAGACAGGCCTGCAGCGTAAGGGATTACAGTGCTCTTGCGTCTCTCCTCCCTTTCCTGTTCAGTGTTATTTCTCTTTCTGTTCTTCACAAAGGCCCACTTAGAGGCCCACTCCTCTCCAGTTAATCCCTCAGAAGCTTCCTTCATATTTCCTTTCCTATAACCTTCCTATGCTTCCTTCATGTTTCCTCCTCTCCATCCCTCTCCCTCTCGGTTCTTGTCGACCCTCTTTGAGGACTTGATGAGTCTAGTTCTGATCCTGATGTTGAAGCTCCGGGTTTTACCTCCATCTTGTTTTTCTCTCCTGCAGGTGAAGCGACTCGCTCGGCCCTCAGCTCTACTCAGCGCCTCCTCCCACCTCCTCGACCTCCACAGGAGAACCACCATGTCTCTCTCCGCCTCAGCCCCCGCCCTCCTCCTCTCCCTCCCTCTCCTCCTCCTCCTCCTCCTCCTCCCCGCCCTCTCTCAGGCGGAGTCTCAGCGCAGTGACCCCAGCAGTGACCCCGGCCTGCGGAGCGTCTCCCCCTCCATGTTCCCCTCCGTCTTCCCCTCCTCCCCGCCCTACAGCCTCAGTAACTCGTCCAGTAAGAGGAACAAGTGTGAGGAGGTGCCCACCTGTAAACCCGGGATCCTGCTGCCCGTCTGGCGTCCAAACCGACCCGGACTCGGGGACCAGGTGGCCCGGGCTGTGGTCTACTTTGTGTCCCTCATGTACATGTTCCTGGGCGTGTCCATCATCGCAGACCGCTTCATGGCGTCCATCGAGGTCATCACGTCACAGGTAAGGACCCGAACCATCGCCTGACCGGTTCTGATTCTGACCCTCACTGCTGTAAAACCCAGAATTATCCCGCCGTATATTCAGCCTTTCTCCGATAAAGACCGGACAGCTGAAGGTCACGGAAACACCTTCGTCCGACTATAATCGGAGTTTGAGAACTCGGAGAACTCCGATAGTCGGAGAACTCCGATTAAGACGCCCAGATAATTCGATTTTCTCTACCATGTCACCAGCGTAGTCGGAGTATGATCGGATAATACATGTGTTTGTGTGTGTGTGTGTGTGTGTGTGTGTGCCACGCCCCTGTAACCTTCTCAGCTGCATGTTTACGCAGACAAGGTGAGACGTCCGAGTCAGCGAAAAAAAGATGATTAAACTGAGACTGTAAACGAGTGACTCTTGATTTAGACTTCTCATGTCTCCATGTTTCAGAGGCTGTTAAAGACTCCACACACACACACACACACACACACACACACACACACACACACACACACACACACACACACACACACACACACACACACACACACACACACACTCTGGACTCATCTGGTTCTTAGATTGATACAAATGACACGATTATCTTTCTAATGACTTTAATTCCTCTGATCGTCTCCAGTAACTCGGCGCTCTGAGCAGCGATCTCATTCGCCCAATAAACTCTGTGTGTGTGTGTGTGTGTGTGTGTGTGTGTGTGTGTGTGTGTGTGTGTGTGTTGTGTTTTCTGGTCAACAGGAAAAGGAAGTGACGATCACGATGCCTAACGGGGAGACATCTGTGGCGACGGTTCGGATCTGGAATGAGACGGTGTCCAATCTGACGCTGATGGCTCTGGGCTCGAGCGCTCCGGAGATCCTGCTGTCTGTGATCGAGGTGAACACACACACACACACACACACACACACACACACACACACACACACACACACACACACACACACACACACACACACACACACACACACACACACACACACACACACACACACACACACACACAGTCATCTTTGTCGTTACTAAGGTTACTCTCTTTTTCCTGCAGGTGTGTGGTCATGAGTTTAAGGCGGGCGACCTCGGACCCGGTACCATCGTGGGCAGCGCCGCCTTCAACATGTTTGTGATCATCGGGATCTGCGTTTGGACCATCCCCAAGGGAGAGAGCCGGAAAATCAAACACCTCAGGGTGTTCTTCATCACCGCCTTCTGGAGCATCTTCGCCTACATCTGGCTCTACCTCATCCTGTCCGTCATGACGCCCGGCGTGGTGGAGGTGAGACTGACTCCGAGGGTCCGCGGGTCTGATACCGAGGGGTCCTTCTGTGTGCAGAGTCAGCACAAACTGAAGACCAGGCTGATCTGAAGAAAAGGTCCAGAACAGACCTAAACCAGAACCTCGCATAGCTCCTCCCCCTCAGGGTTTCAGGCTCCGCCCCCAGGGTTTCAGGATCCGCCCCTCCCTCTCTCGAGAGGGAGGGGCGGAGAGCCGCCCCTAAACTGACAGCAGCGAGAACTTCAGGTTCTGCCGACCCTTCCCCAGTCCAGCTCCTACTATTTATGCCGTGTCTGGTTTTACCAGGATCTCTGCCGCTGTTCTCCCCCATTCAACAGTCTGACGGTCACATTTCCCCGTTACTGTCCGTCAGTGAACAACTTAATAATAATGACAATAATAATAATAATAATAATAATAATAATAATAATAATAATAATAATAATAATAATAATAATAATTATGACAATAATAATCATCATCATAATATAATGAATAATCATTATAATAATGATAATAATAAGAATAATGACAATAATACTAATAATAATAACAATAATAATAATAACAATAATAATAATAATAAATGAATAATAATAATAACTTTATTTTTATATCACTTTTAAAAACTGAAGTTTACAAAGTTCTTTGATAAACGTGGTAAATCTCAGAACATCAGGAATTACAAACAAATAAAAACTAAAGTTCAGTTAAAAACGACATTTTCATTCGTCATAATAAACCAGACAAAAGAAGAACCTACAACATAAACTGAGACCAAAATACAAACATAAAACAGGTCAGAAGAAGAAGAAATGTAAAAAGACGATATTAATAATGATAATAAAATAATAATGATGGTAAAAGTAATGATAAAATGAAATAACAGAAATGAGCAGAAAAAATCAATAAAATCAATAAAATCAATAAAATCAATACAAGGTTAAATTAGAAAAGATAATAAATAAAACGAAGACAGTTCAGCTGAAATAAGATCAAAAACAAACCCTGACCCTGTCTTCTGTCCCTCAGGTGTGGGAGGCCCTGGTGACTCTGCTCTACTTCCCCGTGTGCGTCATCTTGGCGTGGATCGCCGATCGCCGTCTGCTCTTCTACAAGTACATGGGCAAGCGTTACCGTGCCGACAAGCGCCACGGAATTGTGGTGGAGACAGAGGGAGACTTGACGCCCAACAAGGGCGGCATGGAAATGATCATGGACGGGAAAATCCCGCCACGAGGGGGCGCCGTGGTCCCTGCTGAGAACTGTGGGGGCGGACCTCAGGACGGAGCGGCGGGTACGGCGGCCAATAACACGGGAGGAGGAAACCTGCCGAACTCCAACAGCGCCATGGTCAACATGGAGAGCAGCAAGGAGCTGGACGAGAGCCGCAAAGAGGTGTGTGTGTGTTCGGTGTGCGTGTGTGTGTGCGTGTGTGTGTGTTTTGGGGGGTTTGGTTTGGTCCAGGTTCAGGTTTTAGTCTGATCCTCTTCGTCCTCCAGGTGATCCGGATCCTGAAGGAGCTGAAGCAGAAATATCCTGATAAAGAACTGGACCAGCTGGTGGAGCTCGCCAACTACTACGCCCTGCTGCACCAACAGAAGAGCCGCGCCTTCTACCGCATACAGGTGACACACACACACACACACACACACACATCTAAACACTCACACGTGCACGTGCACACACACACACACACACACACATCTAAACACTCACACATGCACGTGCAAACACACACACTTCTGTTTCCAGGCCTGATCAAAGACTTTCAAGGACCCTTTTTGATCGGATTCTTTCTGCTGTTTTTTGAAGTTCAAACTGAAACTGTTCAACTCTTCCTCTTCTTCTTCTTCTTCTTCTTCTTCTTCTCCTCCTTCTTCTTCTTCTTCTTCTCCTCCTTCTTCCTCTTCTTCTTCTTCTTCCTCTTCTTCTTCTTCCTCTTCTTCTTCTTCTCTTCTTCTTCTTCTTTTTCTTCTTCTTCTTCTTCTTCTTCTTCTTCTTCTTCTTCTTCTTCTTCTTCTTCTTCTTCTTCTTCTTCTTCTTCTTCTTCTTCTTCTTCTTCTTCTTCTTCTTCGAGTGTTCAGAGACTTGAAACATCACGTCGATCATCTTCTGTCAGAAATTCGTGGATAAGCTGGGTTCTGTCTGGTTCTGGTCATGATGGCGTGATGACATCACTGTATGGATGCACTCTCAGCTCGCTTGTCTTTTTGTCCTTTAAGGCGACCCGTATGATGATCGGGGCCGGTAACGTCCTGAAGAAACACGCTGCCGACCACGCTCGCCGTACAGCCGTCACAGACGAGGAGGTTCCAGAGGAAGATGACCTGGCGGTCTGCAGCCACATCTCGTTTGAGAGCGCCCACAGTCAGTGCATGGAGAACTGCGGCGTCCTGACGCTGACCGTGACCTGCCAAGGTAGAGAACGGCGGAGGATCATACTGAGTTTGATTTCTGTGAACCGTCACTCTTCCTGTTAACCTGAACGGTTTCATCCTCACAAACATTCGCCGACTTTCATCCCGACAAAAAATCACAGCTGACAAACTTCAGACTGAGCGACCGATTTTTACCGTCCAGAAAAACCGTCAAAGAGGCGATAAAAAAAACACTGAGATAGAAAGAAAAGTTCTCTGAGTCGTTCTCACCGAACTCATGGACCCAAAACCGGGTCAGACGGAATATATCCAACCTGAAACTAACTTCACCGCCGTATTTACAGGAAAATATATCCAACCTGAAACTAACTTCACCGCCGTATTTACAGGAAAATATATCCAACCTGAAACTAACTTCACCGCCGTATTTACAGGAAAATATATCCAACCTGAAACTAACTTCACCGCCGTATTTACAGGAAAATATATCCAACCTAAAACTAACTTCACCGCCGTATTTACAGGAAAATATATCCAACCTGAAACTAACTTCATCGCCGTATTTACAGGAAAATATATCCAACCTAAAACTAACTTCACCGCCGTATTTACAGGAAAATATATCCAACCTGAAACTAACTTCACCGCCGTATTTACAGGAAAATATATCCAACCTAAAACTAACTTCACCGCCGTATTTACAGGAAAATATATCCAACCTGAAACTAACTTCATCGCCGTATTTACAGGAAAATATATCCAACCTAAAACTAACTTCACCGCCGTGTTTACAGGAAAAAAAACGTTTGTTGATTTTTTAATTTGCACATGTGACCCTAAATACAGTTTATAATTCACACATCTATCTTTAGTCACAAATGTCAGTGAAATGGTCGCACTGTCGAGACCTGCTGTGTCACGGCGAGGCGTCTCACAGTGACACTTCCCGGAAAAAAGCCAACATCTCACTTTTGTTCTTTTGTTCAGAGGAGATGTTGATTTGTTCTGTGATAGATACGATGTAAATAGAGAGACGTCTCAGAGTAGATCCATGGAGACAGAACAGTTCTTCAGTTTTATCAGAACTTTGTTTCAGATGAACTTCAGACAGTTTGAGTTTCCTTCCATCGTCACTGAAGCCGATCTCTGACAGGTGAGGATGTGAAGCTCTCTGTGAAGGATCTCTCCTCATGAAGCTTCATCTCCACCTTCTCGGTGCAGATCTGCTCAGTCTTCAGTTTGAACCACGAACTTTAATAAAGACACGAAAACTGTTGGACTTTGGTCCGAGTTCAGGAGAAATCGCAGATTTAGTCGAGTTCTGCTGAGGGGGATCGGTCTGTGAGAACAGAGAAAGTGAGATCCACGTTCAAGTGTTGAGACCTTTTGCTGTTCCAGGTCTTCTTGGTTCAGACATGAACGTCTCTGATGTACTAATGATGTCCTCTGGTCCTGTTTAGGGGGTCTTGGAGAGAACACCTTCTATGTGGACTACAGGACGGAGGACGGTTCAGCCAACGCCGGTTCTGATTACGAGTACTGCGAGGGAACGCTGGTCTTCAAACCCGGAGAGACTCAGAGAGAGATAAAGGTGGGTCAACGGGACTGAGGGAGAACCAACTGGACCTGGATCCTGGGGTCATCTCAGAGAACTGCAGAGAGGGGACACAGACCTAAGACCTCAGACCTCAGACCTCAGACCCCAGACTCCATACCTCAGACCCCAGACCACGGGCAGAACTTAGTAGGACCCTGGACAAACCAGAAGCAGGCATCAGGCGGACCTTAGGCAGACCATGGGAAGACAAGAGGAAGACAAGACGTCTACAGACCAGATTTAACACAGACGTCTACAGACCAGATTTAACACAGACGTCTACAGACCAGATTTAACACAGACGTCTACAGACCAGATTTAACACAGACGTCTACAGACCAGATTTAACACAGACGTCTACAGACCAGATTTAACACAGACGTCTACAGACCAGATTGATCTGTCTTTCTTTCTTTCTCGGCGTCTCCAGGTCGGGATCATCGATGACGACATCTTTGAGGAGGACGAGCACTTCTTTGTGCGTTTGATGAATCTGCGTGTTGGTGACGCAGAGGGAATGTTTGAGAGCGATGAAGTTGGTGCCGCCCCCAAGGCCCGCTTGGTTGAACCCATGGTTGCCACAGTTACCATCCTGGATGACGACCACGCCGGTATCTTCACATTCAGTGAGCGCATGGTGAGAGTGAGCGAGAGCGTGGGCACCATGGAGGTGACGGTGGTGAGGAACTCAGGGGCCCGTGGAACCGTCATCTTGCCGTACCACACCGAGTCCGGCACCGCCAAGTCCGGAGAGGACTACGAGGACACCGGGGGGGAGCTGGAGTTCACCAACGACCAGACCACGTGAGTCAGACCACGAGTTTGTGCGAGAGTTCGCTACGAGGAGATCAGAGGGTTCCAGTCTGCTGTAGAAAAAAATAAAAACAGTTTCTAAACGGATAAAACGACGGTGATAAAGTCGAACCTGCAGCAGCTGTAGATGTTTTTCTCAGTGATGAGGGAAACCAAAGCAGTAAAGGTCGATGATGATCACGCCATCAAACTCCTTTTAACAGCATCAAGTCTTCATGTGAACCAAACCTCTTTTAGAAATGAGCAGTTGGACAGAGGCCGCGGTGGAGGCGGTCTTTGGAGTTTGACGCCTTTGAAGCTCTGCATGACCATGACCTGTCGATGACCTTTACTTCTTAACTGGCTCATCAGAAAGTGTTTCTGAACATAATGCAGTTTGTTGGTTGAAATCCTCTTTCTTTGTCTTTGTGTGCACGCTCGTGTGGACGTCTGTGTGTTTGCAGTCAGACCTTTCAGGTGAGGATCATCGATGATGAAGAGTACGAAAAACACGAGAACTTCTTCATCGTGTTGGAGGAGCCTCGATGGCTGAAGAGAGGAATCTCAGGTAAGTTCAGAGTCTGTTTCCATGAGTGAAGGAACTTCTAGATATGATTACTCAGGAGGTTTTTGGAGCGTCAGACATTCACATTTCGTTAGGAACCGAAACACTGAAAGAAAAGCAGAAATAAAAGAGGAACACACCGACAGAGAGAGGGAGGAAGATTATCAGTTAGTGAGGATGAGGGTGAGAGAGGAACACACATCAACCTTATTTCTGTGTTTGTACTTTGATCTGAACCAAGAGTTTGACCTGCTGTACAATAATTTAAACCAAACTGCTGAACTGAACGAGTTTTAACCGTTTTTTCCTGTTTTCTTTACAGCTCTGCTGCTCAACCAAGGTAAGACCTTCTCACAAGTTTTTAGACATGACAACAACCACTGCTTGGATTTAGTTTAAATCAACCAATCAGCCAACCTACCAACCAACCAACCAATCAGCCAACCAACCAACCAACCAACCAACCAACCAATCAATCAATCTACCTACTAACCAATCAGCCAACCAACCAACCAACCAATCAGCCAACCAATCAATCAATCTACCTACTAACCAATCAGCCAACCAACCAATCAGCAAGCCAACCAATCAATCGACCAAACAATCAACCAACCAACCAACCAACCAACCAACCAACCAACCTATCAACCAAGCAATCAATCAGCCAACCAACCAACCAATCAATCAATCTACCTACTAACCAATCAGCCAACCAACCAACCAATCAACCAATCAACCAATCAATCCACCCACTAACCAATCAACCAACCCACAATCAACCAACCAAACAATCAACTAACTAACCAATCAACCAACCAACCAACCAACCAACCAATCAATCCACCCACTAACCAATCAACCAACCAACCAATCAATCAACCAACCAACCAACCAACCAACCAACCGACCAACTCACAATCAACCAACAGAACAATCAACTAACTAACCAACTAACTAACCAATCCTCCATTGTTGGTGTCCTCCTGGTTTCTCCACAGAGGGGACGGAGGGGCAGATGAGCGCTGAGGAGGAGGAGGCTCGGAGGATAGCTGAGATGGGGAAGCCCATCCTGGGGGAGCACAGCCGCCTGGAGGTGGTCATCGAGGAGTCGTACGAGTTTAAGGTGAGAGCGGCGCCCCCTGGGTTTATTCTTCTCCCCCTGCACACAGCAGCTTCATCTTTGACACCATCGTTTGAAGATGATCAAGAAATTAAACTGTGAATGAGAGACGATCCGATCAAAGCTGTCTGTGTGTGTGTGTGTCTGTGTCTGTGTCTGTGTGTGTGTGTGTCTGTGTGTGTGTGTGTGTGTGTCTGTGTCTGTGTGTGTGTGTGTCTGTGTGTGTGTGTCTGTGTGTG